CTATGCACTTGAGAACCTGGACGACCACCTATGAGCACAGGTGTCAGGTGCACAGTAGCTGTAATCAGACACTATTCCAGCTCAGTCACTGTGGCCTGTTTATGTATCGATTAGCTATATAACAATATACCAGAAAAATCACTATCTATGCTGTCTTGAGAGACAGGTTGAGAACAGTAGCAGCATTCTGGCAGTACAACCACCACACCAGTAGATGGTATCCCCACCTTTCAAAAGAAGATACTAAAATGCAGAAGGTAAGAAAGTGTCCAAAGTCACATGGCTAGCAGGAAGCAGGGTACACAGTCCAGGTGGTAACACGAGCTGCCCTCTCAGGAACTGGCACACCACCAGATCTCACACCGAGTCCCCTAATAAGCCATTGCTGTTGGCCTCTGCCCCGTGCCCCACCCATTCAATCCTGACAGGCCTGCCCCCACCCGGGTCCCACCTCCTTCCGAGCACCCCACCCTGTACTCACCAGCACGTGCCACACTTGCTCACTGGCCCTGCGAAAGCTGCAGAAGCGAACGCTGGCGCCCAGCAGGCCCTGTCCGCCCCACATGTTGCTGGGCACCACTTCTACCTCGCGCACCTTCATGGTCTTCATGTTGAACACCTCCAACTTCACGGGCTTTTCCACATTGGCTTTCAACAGCGCCTTCAGCGTATCATTCTCCTTGTTCTGCAGGGGCAGCAGGGCTGACACCAAGGCCCCAGCCCTCATCCCCCAGCCCCAGGTCAGTCCCTTCAGACAAGTCAGGGCCTAAGATGGCACAAGGGCCTTGGTGGCCAGCAGAGCCAGGTGCCAGAGTGAGCTGTAGCCACTGTGACCCCCACCACCTAGCACTTCCCAATCCTCCTCCCTCCCTAGGCCAAAAAACACAACCAAGCAAGCACAAAGCCTCCTGGGTCCAGACCACTCCATACTGCCCTTGGCCAGTCCCCTCCACACCCTCAAGCCCACCTTCAAGAGTCCCTCTGCCCTCAGTGACCCTGGGTAAAAAACACAAGCAGAAGCAGGCTGGGCCTCCAGAGGGACAGAGGGATGCAAGTACACAAACAAAGCAGAGGCAGTGGGGGGAGCCTCACCAGCCGCGAGTGCCCAATGGTGATGATGAAGTCAAAGTAAGGCTCCAGGCCCGCCTGCTGGGCCGGCGAGTTCTCCTGCACCTGTCCCACGACAGAGGCCAGTCACTGCACCAAACCCAGGCTCAAGAAGCCCCCACCGCTGTTCCCAGAACCACTGCCAACCCTGGCGTATCACTACTCCCAGTGCCCTCGAGAGCACAGCTTCTTGGCATTGTCCAGGTCTACTCCTTCCCTTTCTCTACCTTCCTGGTCACAAGCTTTCCTCTTAAGAAAATGGGTCTTTTCCTGATCATCATCCACAAATGCTTCCAGAGATGCCTCACAGCCCAAGGCTGCCTTTGGGGGTTACCAGGAGGCACATGGAGATAAGCTGGCCCAGGCCTATGGGAAATGCTGCCCCAGAGGGCTGGGTTGGACTGGCCGGAAAGCCAGAGTGTGTCATTAGAAAAGTTCAGACATGGACAAGGGGCCCCAATGCTCAAGGAAAGCAGGCAGGAGAAATACATCCAGGGCTGTGCCCAGAAAGGGGGAGTGGGAAAGGCAGCCTGTGACCAGATCTTGAAAGGCCTGGCCTTGACTCAATCCAGCAGATAACTGAGGGCCACTGAAGAATGCTGGGAAGGAAAGCACACCACAGGGGCAGGACTGGGCCTGATGAGCCTCCCCAGTAGCCTCACAGACCAGCTATGCAGGAAACCTCCTTCATGAGCCATTCCCAGGCCAGGTTGCTCCGAATTCCTCTCTGGACTCTCCAGCTCAATATATTTCTAAAATACAACCAGGCCTTGCAGGTCCAAGTTCACACAACATGGCCTTTGTCCCCAGGTCCTGGACCCTAATGGTAGGCCCATACTTAGGCCTTCGTGGACACTGATGACCTCTTAGGGTCAGATAACAGCCAGGCCTCTGTGTCCTGAGAGGCACAGGACTCTTGTGGTCTCGGGTTCTTGAGGCCTTCTGTGCTCTCCAACCCCTCCAGTCTTGGATTCCCCAAGTTGAAAGAGAGGTCTCAGACAGCCTGCTGAGAACAAACTGCTGAGCCTCTGGGATAAGGCCAGTTTGCCCCTGGAATCAGGACTGTCTTCTGGCAGCAACAACTGCATCTCTACTTATTACCTCCAGAAGCTGCCATCGCTTCCAACATGGGCCCGGCAACCTTAGCTGCCCCAACCCAGAGGGCAATCTGTTCCTAGGCCCTGCTTCAGGAGAGCTGAGCCTGCCCTCTATCTCTTCAGGGGCTTCTGAAAACCAAAGGACAGGGCTACTTTGGAGGGTGCTTCTCCCTGAGCAGGGTCACTTGCAAAACACCCCACCTCCGCTCAGGAAAGGCCATACCCAAGGCCATTCTACCCCTCCTCAACACTATGTCAGCCACCCTAGATGAGGGCTGACACTCAGGCCCCCAGTCCCCAGGGCTGGTGCTCCCCTAGCCCACCCAGTACATCCACCCATCCTCTCCTGTGGGCCTGCCCTCTGTCTGCTAAACTTCATTTCCCTCACCCCAGGCTTTGTCATTGTTCACTGGGCTCCACAGCTGAAATCATCTCTACCGCCATCCACTGCACCCTCTTCCTGCAAAACCCACCACCCCTCCATCCAGTTCTCCCTGGAGACTCCCAGCATGCCCCACACCATTTAGCCCCACAATGTGTGCTGCTTTTCATAACACCCCATCCTCTTTTTCCCCACCAGTGAACCTCATGGAACAAACAGTGATGTCAGCCTACAAAGTCACCCAGCGCTGGCTGGCCAGTGGCAAGGACAGTACCACTTCACCTGCTTTATCCATTCAACTCTTTTACTAAACCCAAGTTAAAATGAGAAAAGGGGCTCAGTCCCTAGGAAATCCAACCCACAGTCCTCCCCTAACCACTGCCATATAACAGCCATTTCCTTGTGAATCCTTCCTTACCATATGCTTACTGAGGGCAAGGGACATTGCCAACAGGCCTGGCACGTGGTGGGAATGCCAGTATTTATAGAATGGAGCACACTTGTTCTTTCAAGTTTTAAAAATATAAGCAGATCATGTTACCTCCCCACATAAAACCTACCAAAGGCCCCACATCTCAGAATAAAATCCTGAACCTTCAGGACAGTAGCAGGGTCCTACACAGCCTGACTTCCTCCTGATACTGGCCACACTTTCCAAAATGCTGTCTTTGCCTCCTCACACTTCCTCAGACACACAAGCACGACCCACCTTTGCTGGGCCTTCTAACTGGAATACTCTCTCCTCCATGTGTATACTGTCTGCCCTTCTGGCTGAGACATCTGTCCAAAAATCACTTGATCAGAGGCCTTTCCTGACCACTCTAGAAAATGGCACCAACCCATCTCTCTTTTTCCCTTAACCTGCTTTAGCAGGTTACCACCTACCATATTTGTTTCCTATGATCTTCCTTCTCTCCCAACTGACATCCAAATGCAAGCACACAAGAATGGATTACAGACATTGTCTATTCTGTTCACAGGTTTATCTCTGCTGCCTAGAACTCTGCCTGCCAGATTAAGTGCTCACAAATATGTGGAGGATGACTTCTAATCCTTTAGCCTCTTAATCTTGTCCCTCTCCACTAGGTCCTCCTGTCTGCACTCCTACCATCACCCCATGGCTTCCCTGGTTGCCTACATCCTGAATTCCTTTTTATTCATCAAACCTGTTCCAAGACTATCCTGGCTGGATGAATTCCACTGTCTGCCTCTGTGCCTCCCCATAAGAAAGGCCATCCCCAAGCACAAATCCCATCAATGCTGGGTAGTCAAAAAAGGCCTGGCTTTCCTGTTAGAAAACCCCTCCCATGTGACACCTGCTTACAGAGCCTTCCTTCAAAGCAGAGACCACTCAACAGCCAGGCACCAAAGGAGCAAACTTGTCTGTCTACACCCATCTCTACATCCATCGCTTCACACAAGGTTAAGTGTGCAGGGGTGGGAATCTGAACCCGGGCAGGGGATCTTAACTAGGTGCACTCCAGGGCCAAATGCTCTCTTGCTTCTCTCACCTACATTAGAGCCCATTTGGCTGCAGGCTCTTCTCCCCACCTCCACAGTCAGGCTAGGAACTCCTCTCAATCTCCACTGTCCTGCAGCCTGCTCGTCCGGACTTTCTTGCAGGGGCACGTAAAGCCCATTCGTCCAGACTTCCTGGCACCTAAAGCCCATCCTCAGTCCCTGCCTCACCGACCCGCCTTTCCACAGGGTTTCACCACTGGGGCGCTTCCCCAAGCTGCAAACGCTCTCCTGGGCTTCGGTGGCATTCTCCTGGCCTCCGGCACCCCACTTCCCTGGCTAGTTCTACTGGTCCTCGCCCCGCCCCCATACCCCTCCTGACAATGCGACAGGCAAGTCTTAACGGCAAGATCGATGCAGGGGACCACTCGGTCCTTGGAGCTGCTGGCTGTCCCCAACTCCGCACGGAGCACAGCACACAGAGGTCATCACCAATGTGCCCTGAGGGCACCAGAGAGTTCTGCGAGGAGCCGGCGCGTTCTTCACCCGGAAGAACGCCACTCCGGGTAGCGCCACACGGAACGCCCCCATTTCCTGCACAGCTGGCATTTGGGGCGGGCGCCGAGCCCCATGGCGACGGCAGAAGCGTCGAGGCCTGGAGTCCGGCGATGCCACTTCTCTCAAGAGGCTGGCAGCCCACAGCTGCAAAGCTCGGGCGGGGACCCAGCGGTAGCCGCCAACCGAAAGGTGACCAAACGCGCGGACGCGTCGCTACAGGCGCGCTTCCAAGATCACCAGCGCCCCGGGACCGACTCACCCCGTGCAGGTGGAAGCCCTCGGCGCCGCCAGCAGGCTGCTGGGCGCTGGAGCCCAGGCCCATGACCGCTGCCCCGCTCGGCGCCCACGTCCACCACCAACGCTGACCCGCAGGCAGCCGGGGAGCCCCAGCGCGGATTCACTTTCTCGAAGCTCAACTACCAGTGCCTTGTCACGTGGTGCGCCGTGCTCCGTCCACTCCCTACGCCGCCGCTCTTAGCAACCGGCTGGCTGCCCGGTTTCCAAGGACGCTCGTGCCTTGGACTTCCAGCCAGGAGAGGCGTGCCCAGGACCCTGACCCTGGAATCCAGCTCTGCACCGCCCTACCAGAGCCGGACTCGCCGCCGCGAGTGGCCGGAGATGAGCAGCAATGATTCTTCTCTTATGGTGCGTGGCCCGACTGCTGCCCGACAATTCCGGCCGGGTGACCCCGGCCCTCTACTCGCGAGCCACCTCTTTGGCCTCCCTTCTCTGTCCCTAGCCTCCTCAGGAGTCCCTGCCCTATCTTGCCTCACTGTCCCTGGAGAGTGCCTTGACACTAGTGCCCTCTATGCACCCTGAGCCCCAAGTTAGCACTCACCATCAGGGTCCTGTCCCTTTAGCACCCCAAACCAAATCATTCCATCTCCACTGTTTTGTCATCTCTTCTACTTAACCCTCTCCACCCCCTACCCTTGCCTGCACCTCTTCTGCATCTCTCATCTCAGTAGATGCCACCACCATTTGATCGCCAGCGTTAATTAATACATATTCCCTATACCTGTCTCTTAGTACTTTCATCAATAAGAAATGTCAACTCCTAAATGTGCCCAGGGTTCACCCACTTTTTTTATTCATCTCTTAGCCCAGGGCCACCACGGTCTCTCATCTGAACAACTGCAACAGGCTCCCTCCTGCTTTAGTTGTCTTCACAAGCAGTGTGCACTACCACCACACACAGCAGCTAGTGTAGTTTTTACAAAAACATACATCTTAATACATCTCTCTCCTACTTAAAACCATTCCAACTGCTTCCTATTTATTACCCTTAGGATGATGTCTGGGTTCTTTCATATGGCCCCCCAGGCGCTTACAATCCAGCCACACTTGGACCCAACCCCAGCACACATAGACCTTAGGGGAAGTGAGACTTAGCTCTTAACTGTGGAAGATATAGATAGGATTATGCGTAAGATAATGGCTACAAAGCCCTTAACTTGTAACTATAACTATTGGTATAGTTTTTCCTTAATATTGGTCCATTCTTTCTCCTTTATTACTCTCTCAGAAAAAAAGCCTGAATTGAGTTACACATCATATTTTAACAAGAATCTATTGGTAATATCCGAACACTGGAAAACTCCTTCCTAGGCGAACTGCATGGAGCTACGCTCAGGGACTGAAGGAGGCCTGCATGTTCCCTCTCTCTTCCCTATGTAGACTAAGAGAAAGTAGGGGATAGGGAAGGGAACCAGTCTCATCACATATGGGTCAGAACAGAGAAAAGGAGCCGGAGCTAGTGCAACTGTGTCTTCCTCCTCACAGGCTGGTATCATTTACTATAGCCAGGAAAAGTACTTCCACCATGTGCAGCAGGCTGCAGTTGCGGGCCTGGAGAAATTCAGCAATGACCCCGTGTTGCATTTCTTTAAAGCCTATGGAGTCCTCAGAGAAGGTAAGGTCTTAGCAATGTTGGCATTCTGATGCCAGGCACTAGCCCAGCTCCATCACTATGGCCAACACCTGGATGCCTACTTATATCCTAGTTATGTTTCCATGGAAACAGTCTTTCACTGACTGTAAGACTGAGTTTTCCAGGTTAATCCACAAAAGCATATATAATCCATATCTAGTTGACCCTTGAGACCTCAAAGGGCTCACTATCCTGCTGTGCATCCCAGTTTCCCTATCTGCAAAATGCGTGGTTGGAGAGACAAGTGTATGACTATTGATCTAATTCTAGGCTTGGAAACTGAGAGCCAGTTGTGCAGGAAAAGAAGGAGGAAGTGGCAGGTGTGGGTGAGCACAGGCAGGAGCAGTGCTGACTTTGCTGACACTCTGCACTTAGCCAAAAGGCCTAGAAGCAATTCACCGATATTCTGGAGGTGGTCTGGCTGAGGCCTGGTAGAGCTGCCAGTGTCAGGAAACATAAGGGATAAATGTAATTGGTAGTCTTGAGCAGCTAGCGGAGAATGCCCTGCTTGAGGTCCTTCCTTAGAACTGACCCCCAGCCAATAGTCCCAGCCTTGCAGGTATCCTGCACAAGTGCTTGCAGGCCACCTTTCAGCTCCAAGACCTTCCTGCCCCTGGCAGCCTGGACCAGTCACCAGGGAACTCAGGCCACCAGGGACCTTTCAGACCAGTTAGTCTTCAAATTCCAAGTAAAGGCAGGTGGTGCTAAGCCATGGGTCGGTCAGCCCTGATAGGGATTCTGGGCATCTGCCAGAGTCTCCTGCCTCTCAGGCATAATCATGTGGTCTCTCTTTGTAGAGCGCATCCAGGATGCCATCAGTGACCTGGAGAGCATCCGGAATCACCCAGACACATCCCTTTGCTCCATTATGGCCCTCCTTTATGCTCACAAAAGCTGTGAAACCATTGGTGAGTGCAGCCACACTCAGCAGGGCTTGGCCTGGCAGGGAAGGAAGCCCACTCCAGAGACCCCACCCCTCAAGGGTGCCTGTGCAGCTAGCTGCTGCTGGTCAGCAAGGAGAGGATGCTGCAGTCTACCCTTGGAAGCCTCAGAGAAGATGCCAGGCCTGGGCACCATTGAGTGGGAAGAGGCAGAGAACATGACAGTGGGAAGGGTCCTCCCTCTAGGTCCCAAGAGTTGAAGAAGCACCCTTCTTTCCTTTGCTCTGTGAGATCCTGTCGGAAAAATCAAGCCAATAGGGATAGGGATGTAACTCAGCCAGTAGAGCACTTGCCTAGCATGAGCAAGGCCTTGGGTTCAATTCCCAGTGCCACCAAAAAAAAAACAAAAAAACTAGTCTCCACCACTCTGGAGTCAGGAAGAGATTCCTGGAGGGGCTACAAATTGCCATTTTCCCACCCAAAATGGTTTGTAGGCCTGAGGCCAAAGGTTCAGGTTTGGTCTGTCTACTCAACACACTGTGCTGGGTCCAGAGCAGAAAAGATAAATGTCAGAGAGCAAAATCTGAGTCCTGGCCTGGGCATTTTCAGTGGCTGGCATGGCTAGTTCCCAGGCCCTAGGTTGGCCCATAATCAGCTGCATACATGGAGGCAGATCCAGAATGTCCAGGGGCAGCTCCCTGGGCCCCTGGTGACCCCTGCAAAACAGGTATGCCTCCTCATCCTAACTCAGCCTCTTCCTCCACTTTGGATTTATAGATCGAGAAGCAATTCAGGAGCTGGAGAGCAGCCTGAAGGAAATACGCAGGACAGCCCCTGAGACAGCCCTGTACTATGCTAGCCTCTTCCTCTGGCTCATGGGCTACCACGACAAGGCCAAGGAGTATATCGACCACTTTCTGAAGGTCTCCCACAGCTCCAGAGAGGTACCTACCCTGAGCATCATCGAGCAACAGCAAAGAGCAAGCATCGAAACATATCACAGCAGGCTGGCCCTTTATTCCCTTCAAGGGCCCTGGAGCTGGGGAAGGGCCAACCCAGGCACTGACAAGACCCCAATAACCATCCACGTTACTGATATTTAGAAATCAAGTCCAGATTTCTTGAAAATCCCAATGAACTGGCTACAGTTATTCCCTGCCTGCATCTATTCACTAGATACAAGTGGTGGCACCTACACATAGCACGTGGCTTATGCAGCATATCTGTGCTAATGGTGGATTTCAAAGTCTCGGTCTAGGCCTCTCATTCTGAGGGGGTTGATATGAGTTTTCAAGGATGTGAACATTGGTCCTTAGGGGAGAGAATGAAAAAAATCTTACTCTATGTATAAAACAAATATCTTATAGAACACAAAACACAGATATGGTGTATTTGTGATACTAATATTTCTTAGAGGATGAGGGGTCACCCAAAAAAAGGCTGCTGATGGGAGAGAAAATGGAAAAAGAGAAACATGAGGCTAGTCCATCGAGGGATGCTTCAAGGCAGGGTTCTTCCAAGTGCCCCTCCAATTCTGCTTCCCCTGCCTGACCCTCCCCATCTACCAGGAGAGGCTGAGTGAAGGCTGATGGGAACAAATAAGGTCCCCCGAGGTCAGTATGGCTCTTACTCATCCATGCTGTGGGCACTCCCAGGCTTTATATGCATGGCCAGGCCCTGGCTGGTCTAAGGAGTAGAAGGACCAAGAATTGGCCCTGCCCCTGCCCCTGTGATGGGCCTGACCCCAGTGTAAAGTAACCAGATGATGGCAAGACAGGCAAGAGGACTGCAGGAAGGGGTGGCAGAGAGCTGTGACGGTGCAAGGGGGTCAGCCCTCCTACAGGAGCAGTCTCCTAAGCTGAGGTAAAAGTAGTAGTCAATCAGGTGAGTGGACTTGGTTTGGAAGCAGGTCTGGCAGGGCACTGCAGGCAGCAGGGACAATGTGAGACCTGGGAGAAAGGGGGTTGGCCTGCTCTGGGGTTTATCCCAGGACATCAGCATACAGGACATGAGCAGGCTAGGTCGAGGCTCCGGGACCAAGGACTTCATCTTTCCTCTTGTTCTCTCCCCAGGGCTATGTGCTCAAAGGCTGGGTGGAACTCACCTCAGATAAACCTCACATTGTGAAGAAATCCATCAAGTACCTGGAGCAAGGAATTCAGGACACCAAAGATGTGCTGGGGCTGATGGGAAAGGTAGGCAGAGGGAGGGCAGTATGCGTGGCTGGTCCCCTGGAACCAGAGACCTACCAGGTAACCTCAGGCCAGACCCTCAGTCTCTAGATGCCTCATCTGGTGGCTGAGGAGCAGAGACCCAGAGAGGGCTGGTGACCAATCTAGGGTCACACAGCAGCCCTGGGCTCACTCCAGGTCTCGTACTCCTTCCCGCTCCATGTGAGCTTCAGTCATTCTGCATGGGTGTCTTCTCAGGGTCACTTTCCAGGTCACTTTCCGGGTCACTTTCCCTGGGCTCACTCAGCCTTGCTTCCTCTACTTCTTTTTTGGTTTCACTCACTGCCTCTTTTCTCCACCTGCTTCTTTCACTCTTCTTATTTCACCCGTTAGTCACCTAGTAGTTTCATATCGAGGGTATATATTTTATATGTTTGCTTTTTCTGGTCTTAATTCAAATTGTTTCTTTTTTTCTCTCTTTCTTTTTTTAAGAGAGGGAGGAGAGAGAGAGAGAAAGAGAGAATTTTTTAATATTTATTTATTTATTTATTTTAGTTTTTGGCGGACACAACATCTTTGTTTGTATGTGGTGCTGAGGACCGAACCCGGGCCGCACGCATGCCAGGCGAGCGAGCTACCGCTTGAGCCGCATCCCCAGCCCTCTCTTTTTTTCTCTTTTATGACCTTCTTTTGACTCAATCTTTGAGGGAAAAAAAAAACTGCCATCTTATTCTCTTCTGTTTGTACACATTGTCCTTATGAAATGAATAATTACTCAATTAAAAAAAAAAAAAACCAGAAGTCTAAACCTGGGCTCAGTGGCTCACGCCTGTAATTTCAGCTACTCCGGAAGCTGAGGCAGGAGAATCTTAATGTTGAGGCCATCCTCGGCAACTCAGGGAGATGTTGTCTCAAAAATTAAAATAAAAAGGCTTGGGGGTGTGGCTCAGGAGTAGAGTGGCCCTGGCTTCCTTCCCTAGCACCAGAAAACAAAACCCACAAAAAACAAACCCGGAACCCTGACATGAGATGACAAGAGGACACGCTTTGCACTACCACTGCAAGGCCTCCTTCTGTGCTTGGATTAGGGTGTGCCCCAGGTTGTGTCCTGGGCAGCAGGAACAGTGGAGGCTTATCAGGGAGTACCCTAGAGGCCACCCCCTGGGGTGGGGGGACAGGGGTGGGGGGTGGGGCAGCGACAGCCAAGACCTCAGCCAACCCCTGCCCTGCTAATCCTAGGGCGTATGATCATTAGTTTCTTTTTCTTCCTGTTAATATTCTGTCATAAGCAAATGTCATTTTGAGCTTCTATGTCAAACCACTCCCCCTTGTATGAGCATAATGTAATTTACCAACCCTGTTCCCTTTTGTTTGTATATTGAGATGGTTTCCAGTCCTCCACATAGAAGCACTGCAGTGAGCACATGAACACGCTTCCTTATTCAAAATAATCCTCTCTTGGTTTTAGTGAGAAGTTTCTTAAGGGAGAGGTGCTGTGGGTCTCAATTAAGCCAAACTTTCAGAGTCCAATTTCAAGTCTTTCAGAAGCTTTGCCCTGTGGCCCTCAGGACACCTGCCATGAGTCTTCCAGGAGAACCTGATAGCTGGTGCTGGCCTGCAGAGGCCCTGACCCCAATCCAGCAGGACTTAATACCCTCCACAGCCTTGCCACTGAGGGAGGTGCCCACGAACCTTAACTGACTCCAAGTTGCGAACTGGGCCTCAGTGAGCACATCCCAATGATGAAATTCAGGACAGCAAATTCAGGAATGAATGGGCAATTTGTAGAACTGCAAAATGCTCATGACCTTAGCTCTTGGGGTGAACCTCCCACAGCTGTGCCCTCTGCCAGGCCTGTGGAGTTTCTCAAGCTCAGGGCTTAGCTGGCTCCTGGGAGCCCCTCTGCCTTGCCTGGCCTGGAACCTAGCTAGGACCATTGTCACTGCTCTGAGTGACAACTTCTTTCCCAAGATGCTCTTAGCGGCTGTTCCCCTGGGCCAGGCCTGAGGACTCACTGGCCCAACAGAGAGGACCTGTAGGTCCCTCAGGCTCCATCCTATCTCGGTGGAGTCACTGACACCTGCCTCACTGACCGAGGCTCTTCTCTCTGGCCTCCCACAGGCAACATACTTAATGATGCAGCAGAACTACTCGGGGGCCCTGGAAGTGGTGAACCAGATCACTCTGGCCTCTAGGAACTTTCTGCCCGCCCTCATCCTGAAGATGCGCCTGTTCTTGGCTCGGCAGGACTGGGAACAGGCAATAGAAACCGGACACAGGTGAGAGGAAGAGCTCACTTTCACAACTTCCTTTGCAAGCCTAAGATATGCTCCCATCTTATAAGATGGTGAGGCAGGAAGGTAAATACCACCCACAGTAGAGTTGGGAATAGTGTTGGGATCATATTGGAAGGCGAAGGACAGGGAAGACTGGGGTAAGCAAACTAAATACACAGCCGTCAAGCATAAGGCCAGGGGCTATGGCCTGAGGTGAATAATTCAAGGAATCAAGGTGCAAGCTTATCATTTAGAAGAGATGTGGAGGGATCCACCCAAAGGACCCAAGGCAACGTGAGTTACAGGGTGGAAAATAGTGGCTATGAGGCATGGCTGAAGAGTGGGATGTGAGACTATTGGATTATTTAATTTTTTAAAACTATGGGCATGCTGTACTTCAATAAAAAAAAAAATTTAAGGAGGAATGGTCACTGGTATCTTTGAGAGAAGATTTAAAGGTGGGCACAGTCCCTACACCGGAGAGCAGGGTTCCAGGGCTATAGGAACTTGTGGGAGTCAGATTCCCAGTATGGCGACCTTGAAGCACTGCAAATAGAAATGGAGGTGAATTAAGGGGGAGGGTGAGTGATGGGAGGCTTATTGAGGGTGAGCTTTCCTAGATCACGTAAGATTGTCTCTTTAAACTCTAGCACTTTTAACTATTTTTATCACTGTCATTCTTACATGTATGATCCTAATTTTCCTCCCTAAAAGGAGTCAATGAACCATGACGCATCACTGTGAATTGCTATTGGATTATGTGGTGATATAAAGCACAGTTCTAGAAGGAAAAAAAAAAGGCCAACAAGCCTCCTCCTGCCCTTTGGAGGGTGCTGACCCTGATGATGACTAGAATTTGAGCTATAGAATTTGCCAATCAAAAAGTGGCACAGGTGCCACAGTACAATGCCTGTGTGATCCCTCAGCTCTCTCATGATGTAGACCTGGCCAGTATCTTGGCAAGAATTTGCTTTGGTGGCTTGGCCTTGGGCCAACAGCTTATCTGGAAGCACCTGGCTAAAGGCCAGACTAGGGGAGGGAGTAGGTGTGGACTCCCCCACCCTGGCCTTGTGTGCTCAAGAGTGGGAGACAGAGTTTGATACCACTGGTTGAGTCCAATACCCAGGCGCCATCCCCCATAGCTTTCCCAGCTAGTGATATTCAGAGAATTCTCTCATTTTTTAATATATATATATATATATTTAATTGTAGTTGGAAACAATACTTTTATTTTATTTTATTTATTTTTATGTGGTGGTGATGATCAAACCCAGTGCCTCGCACGTGCTAGGCAAGCTAAGCCACAACCCCAGCCCCCTCTCTCATTGTTTTGTTTTTTTTTTTGGTTTTGGTTTTTTTGGTACTAGGATTGAACTTAGGGCACTCAAGCACTGAGTCACATCCCCAGATGTTTTTGTATTTTATTTAGAGTCAAGGTCTCACTGAATCGCTTAGGGCCTCGCTAAATTGCTCAGGGCCTCGCTAAATTGCTCAGACTGGCTTTGAACTGGCGTGATCCTCCTGCCTCAGGCTCCCTAGCTGCTGGGATTACAGGTGTGTGCCACCGCACCTGGCTTTCATTGTTTTTTAAAACTTTACTTCATCTAGGTGTGTTTCCTGTCATCCTTATAGTATTTATTTTTCTTTGATTCTTTTTTTTCTTCATCAACCTTAAAATAGTTTGTCTCTTTTATTAGTCTTTTTTTTTTTTTTTGAGAGAGTGGGGAGAGAGAGCGGGGGGGGGGAGAGCGGGGGGGTGGAGAGAGAGAGAGAGAATTTTTTTAATATTCATTTTTTTTTTTTTAGTTTTTGGTGGACACAACATCTTTGTTTGTATGTGGTGCTGAGGATCGAACCCGGGCCGCACGCATGCCAGGCGAGCACGCTACTTACTGCTTGAGCCACATCCCCAGCCCTATTAGTCTTGTTAAAGAACCATCTAGATCCTGTTATATCTTTGTTTTTTAATTTATTTTTTTTCTGTTCATTATTATTTCCTGCCAACAGTGTCCTTTAGAGTTACTCTGTTGTTACTTCTAACTCCTGAATAGATGCCTAACTCATCCGTTTTTAGTCATACCTTAGAATTCATAAATTAGGTCTATGGATGTCTCTCAAAGTACCATTTTAGAATGTCTATACAGCCGGACGTGGTGGGGCATGCCTGTAATCCCAGCAGCTCCGGAGGCTGAGGCAGGAGGATCACAAATTCAAAGCCAGCCTCAGCAACTTAGTAAGGCCCTAAGCAACTCAGCAAGACCCTGTCTCTAAATAAAATACAAAGATGGTCTGGGGATGTGGCTCAGTGGTTAAGTGCCCCTGGGTTCAATCCCTAACACACACAAAAAAAATAAAGAAATGTCTTCACATTTGGATGTGTAGAATTTTCAGTATCATTTGCTTCTAACAATCATCTGATTCTCCTTCTGTTCATAAGTTATTTAAAAGTGTGTTGTTTTCTTTTTATTTCCAAATGCATACAGTTTGCATGCATTCAGAATCATCAGTTGGTCAGAACTCTCTGAATGTTGGTTATGCCCAATCATATTGGAATTTTGTATAATTTGGGTAACCCTCAATTAAACAGAAGGTCATTCCTTGACTAGGCTGAAAAATATGAAGTTTTCTATAAAGAAACAGCATATCAAAGTCCCCACAGTATGATCAGAAGCTGCACCTTCACAAGGACACATGACCGAATCCAAGGTTCCCTTTCCATCTTAACCACAGGCTGCCCCCACACTTCAGAACGTGGTACCAAGGTCAAGTCTAGTTAGTCAGGAATGAGTAGGTTTCTATAACAAACACACCCTCAAATACACACATACCATAACAGGTGATTTCTCTCTCTCGAGTGAAAGCTTGGGAGAGGGTTCATGGCTGGGATGGAGCGACTTTGTTGGACACCAGGCCCTCCTCTCTGGCTGCCCTACCATTCCTAGGGTGGTGTCCACATGGTCCTCATTCCAGACAGCAGGGAGGGGAAAGAGCAGAAAGGGAAGGCCTGCTGCCATAGCACACCTAGGTACCACACACATCACTTTCACTTATATCCTGTTGGCCAAAAATTAGTCACATGGCCACACGTCTCAGCTGCATAGGAACCCTGGGAAGTGTAGTCTTTATTCTGTAGCCATGTGCCTGGCTAGTTTGGGAGTTCTGTTATGAATAAAGAAGCCGGGGATGTAGCTCAGTGGTAGAGCACTTGCCTAGCATGTAGGAGGCTGTGAGCTCCATCCCCAGTACTTCCAAAATAGACAAAAGAAATTTGCCAGGCACAGCAATTAACGCCTGTAATCCCAGCAACTCTGGAGGCTGAGGCAGGAGGAACTCAAGTTCAAGGCCAGTCTCAGCCACTTTCTGAGACCCAGTCTCAAAACAAAAATAATAAGGACTAGGGATGTAGCTTGGTGGTAAGGTGCCTGTTTAATACCCAGTACTGAAAAAAAAATTAAAAAAAAAACAAGAGAGAATGAATACTAGAAGACGATCAGAAGTTGCCAATACTCTCAATTCATGTGGGTTTTCCTCCTATTTCAGAATCCTTGAAAAAGATGAAAGCAATATTGATGCCTGTCAGTTACTAGCTGTGCATGAGCTTGCAAGAGAAGGAAACATGACCATAGTAAGTTGTTTCAAGACTCAGAAGTTGATCCTTGAGACAGACAAGGAGGAACCCCTTATAACCCACCACATTACCACCCCACAGCCCCGAAGGATGCCCCTTGTGTCTCAGCAGCCTTCTCCCCAACCTATTCCCATAATTCCTGCCAAGAGGGTCTGCTCTGGTTTGGCTCTTTGGGCTGGACAGCTTAAGAGTAAGGCAGCTTTGGGCAGTGAGGTTGACACTGTCCTGCCACCTGCTACCTATGGGAGGTTGGGAAGGTATCTCCACCTTGGGAAAGCTTCAACCACTCATTTATAAAATGACATAATTCTGCAGAGCTGAGAAGTTATTCAAAAGACTGAGATGAGAAGTGAGAAAGTTCAGAACAGTGCCTGGTATACAGGAATAATTTGATTCATGTTAACTGCTAGTACAAGTCATGGTATTGTTTCAGAGTTTAGGAAATGCTACCTTTTTAGGGACTGGTTGGAACTACTCAAACAATGGTTAGGACCCAACCTGCTCCTAAGCCTTATATTTTCCCCCAGAAACCTAAATTTGCCCTTAAATGCAGTCAAAAATGACTAGAATATGAATAAAAATACAATGTTCAAACAGGCTATTAATTTCAAAAAGAGTTTGAGTATTTAGAGACAGGGTCTCACTGAGTTGCTTAGCACTTCACTTTTGCTGAGGCTGGCTTTGAACTTGGGATCCTCCTGCCTCCGCCTCCAGAGCCACTGGTATTACAGGTGTGCACTCTCTCTGGGGGGAAGCAGGAGGAAATGCCACCTTGGCAGGAACAGGACTCTACTTTGCTTCCTTCGGGTTGATCCCAAGGGCACAGTTAGCACCTAGTGTCCCTTCTTTACCCCCACCTCAAACCCTGGGATCTGCCCCTCTCCCCCACCAGCTGCCCAGTTCTAGTCCTGCCATGTTCACCCACCAGAGTGAACTCATGCCATCTCAGGTTTCTCTTTCAGCACATCTTTGCAGTTGAGAACTCCTAGGTGGGGAGTGAGCAGAGAACTCAATGGAAAAGCTTTAGATTAAGTCAGTCCCTTGGCTGGCTGGGTGGCCTCAGACCAATTTCCCAACCTTTCTGACCTTTCATCTGCTGTACTGGAAAGTTTGGAGAGTAGTGGCTGTGACTTACAGGGTTGTTGGGAGGGTTCACTGGACAGGCACCAATGTGGTGACTCATGTCAAAATGGAGAAGGTCTGGGCCTACCCAGGTGGTTTGCTGTGGGCCTGGCATGCTGTGAAGTGGCCACAGCGGGATGGCCCTGCTTCTTTCTCTGTGGGGCTAACAGGGCAGCTTCTCTTCACAAACTCAGGGCAGAGGAGCAAGCAGCTCTTGGGGCAGTAATGTCCCCCAAGTCTCCATCTGTGGGGCTTTGAAATAATTCTGTGCCTGGGCCATGCCAGTCCAGTTACATCTGAATCTCTGGGGTGGTGCCAGGACATGGGTATTGAATCTCCCAGTTGACGTGAATGTGCAGCCAGGTTCAAGAATCACTGCTCTAGTTTTACATGTTGCCTTCAACATTGTCTGTTTTGTCCCCACAGGCTGCTGATCACGTCAGAAATCTGATTAAAGTGTTAGAAATGAGAGAGCCCCAAAATCCAAGCCTCCACCTTAAAAAAATTATTGTGATTAACAGACTGGTAAGAAGGTTGTCTCCTGGTTTGTAAAATGGTGCTCGTCTCTGCTTTTCCTGGAAATCCAGGCTTTCACTGAAACTCTCTGGGCACCCTACCACTCGCCCTCCAGCTCAAACTTGGCCTTTCAGGCTAGTGGACTCTTGACTGCTAACCTGACATGTAGGCTCTGTCTGTCCCCTTGGTCCAGGTGCCCCAGCGATGCTATGAAGATCAGGGAGACGGGGTCCGAAGTGATCTTTGAGTGGCAGCATCCTTCTGGGGACAGAGGGTTGCATTGCAGCTACTGTGCAGAGCTACACCACCTCTGGCCCAGTACCCATACTCCTTCTATGGAAGGGACCTAGGAAGGCTGGCCTGCCTAGGCCTCTCTGATATCAGAGAAGTTCCAAATAGACCCAGTCACCAAAGAATCTGTGTCTTTTATCAGCAGCTACAGAATGAGAAGAAATTGTAACTACAAGGGCAGCTCTGAGGCCTCGGGAACCAGAACTGAGTTGCTGAATGCCTCTGGGTCACCATTTTCCCCTCTACCTGTACATCTGATTCTCTCGGGCTTATTCTCCTCCACACATGATAGGGAACATGGCAAATTGTAGCCTTTGAGACCAATTTCCACCACTGGACACAAAGAGCCTCTTCTCCCCCAGCTTCAATTTTTTTAAAAACCTCTTGGTGACTCCTTGGACCAATTAACTGCAGCCAGACAGGGAATGGATCCCTTGGGAAACCCTGTGGTGGAGGCAGGTCCTGCAGAGGTGGCCCACGGAAGGTCTTTTGGGAGATGGATGGCTCCATTAACTCAGCTGCCTAGACCCAGAGCACCTCTTGAGCTCTCTTGAGCCTACCCAGCCCTGCCAAAGTGTCCCCCATACTTCACATGGCCTTTCTCAGGCAGGCTGGACTGAGTGCTCTCCCCATTCCCATATGCCTCTTCCTTGCAGTGTGGGAACCACCAGGTGATTCTGCAGCTAGTGAGTAGCTTCATTGAACGCATCTTCATGGCCTCTCCCTCCTGTGCCCCTGTGGCCACAGAGCTGGGCTACCTCTTCATCCTGCAGAACCAAGTGAAGGAGGCATTTCTGTGGTACTCGGAGGCCATGAAACTGGATGAGAACAGCATGGCTGCCTTGACAGGTCTCTGCAGGCTGGGCGGGGAGTGGGGTGGGAGAGGGGGTAGGAGAGTGGGCGATCCAAACAGGGTGGCCTCCATGGGCCCAGAAAAGAGGTGCTGGGAAGCATTCACCCAGGAGATGTGTGAGTATTTGTCCTTTCCGTGGACATACAGTGTTGATGTAAGAGGCAGGGGAAGGCTCAGGAGTGTCATCAGAGCCACTCTGATCCATGCCAGACTCCAATACCCATACCCTGGCTCTCCTGGAGGACTGATGGCCTGAACCTCCTTCTTGATGGCTCTGCCTCTTTTCAGGGCCCATAGCCCAGTGTTGAGATGTTCTGCTTACGGAGGTCCCTGAGCTGGAAGGCCACCAGCGAGATAGTTTTAAGGATTTTACTTCCCCGTCTGCCCAGATGCTTTTTTCATTTTACACATTTTTTTAAAATATTTATTTTTTTAATTGTAGCTGGACATAAAACCTTTATTTTACTTATTTTTTTAGTTGTAGATGAGCACAATACATTTATTATTTTTATGTGGTGCTGAAGATTGAACCCAGGGCCTCACATTTGCTAGTGAGTGCTCTACCTCTGAGCCACACAACCCCAGCCCTCATTTTACACATTTTTAAAAAAGTCCCAACTCCATGGTCTCTATGAATTCTGAAGCAGTAGTGTTCGGTGTAGGTGAGGAAGCTTGGTAGTCCCCTGCTCAAGGTGGCTGGTTCTCATTTTGGCCCTGAGGAGCTGTGTGTTTGAGGGCAAGTCATTTCTCTCTCAACTGCAAGCTTCTCATCTGCACAGCACAGTTGTCAGAGTAATTGATCTTGACTTCTGGTTTAATGTGTCAGGCTAGCCCCTCAAATCCATGCCTCTCCTCCATCCCCCCAAAAATGAGACATTTAGAAAGATAATGAGACTATTACAGCCCTAGAAATAGGGGGAGATGCCTCTAGGGGACCAGGAATTTGAAGATCATCATATTTCTATATGATATAAGGCAAATGGCATCAAATATGCGGATTCCAAGCAGGTCTACAAACCTGTATGTGAGCGTAAGCAGAGCTAAGTCAGCTAAAGAAATTAGTAGACCAGCTTTCCCCAGAGAGTTCCAGGAAAAACACCACCACCAAAATAGCTCAAGCTCAGGGCCACCAGAGGCTGAGTGCAAAAGCATCCCATGGGGCACTCAGGGAGGTAAAGGGAGGATCATTGGAACCATTCTCCATCCAGAGCCTGGAATCAAAGAGGCTCTTGTTGGGTGTTGGGGCAGAAGGGAGAAGAGTGGTGCTCCAGAGGCCTTCCAATTATCACCAGGGCCATGAAGGACGAAAAGACTTGGCTGCTGGGCACTAACAGTCCCCCAGCAGCCTGAGTACCTCCCCAGTTCTTCAATCAAGGGAGCGCCCCAGCAGGCAGCCAGAGGGAAGTGCGTGGTCAGAAGGTCCCGCTCACTCACTCACAGGTGTTCTAGAATCTCTGACTTTCCTGGCCTGTCTGGAAAAATCAGTGACCTTAACAATTTGGAAGTCTGCCCAGCAGCTAATCCTCATCAGTCTAGTCCTGTGTATAAATCTGCTAGTCTGAAAGAGGCCTGAAGTGGAACATGCAAAGTGGGGGCCATTTGAGGAGCCAAGTTAGGGCTTGGATACAGAAGGGCCTATCTCCCCAAAATGCCTTCAGTGTTTGGAGAGGTGGTGGTTGTCAATAAATAAAGAACACACTACTCTGAGAAGGGTACAGAGAACCAAAAGAGAGTTACCAAAAATTAACATCGTAGGGGCTGGGGTTGTGGCTCAGCGGTAGAGTGCTTGCCTAGCACGTGCGAGGCACTGGATTCAACCCTCAGCACCACATAAAAATAAACAAATAAAATAAAGATATATTGTGCCCAACTATAACTAAAAAATATTTTTAAAAAATTAACATCGTGGCAAAATGAAAAATTCCTCAAACATGCCAAGTAGTGAGCTGACTAGAATTGAAAACCGAGAGGGTGTTTAGGAAAGCCATCATGAACAAATACACCAGAATGTCCAGGAAATATTTGGAAAAAAAGAATAGCAGGGAAAGAGAAGTTTGTCCTTCTAACATAAAATATATCACAAGCCAAGCATGGTAGTGAAGACCTGTAATCTCAGCTGAGGCAGGAGGATTGCCAAGTTGGAAACCTCCCTGGGCAATTTAGTGAGACTCTGTCTCAAAATAAAATGAAAAAGGCTGTGGGATGTAGCGTCGTGGTGGAGTGCTTACCTAGCATGCGTGAGACTCTGTATTCTAGCCCTATCCCTGAAAAAAAAAAAATACCCCGTATCACAAGACTACAGTAGTGAAGTGAGGCCAGCACTGACTAGAATAGACAAACTGACAAATGGGACACACAGGCCTGATTTCAAACTGGTAAGTTGTCCAGTAATTTCTGGTTGGGCATCTGGCTTTCCATTATGAAAGACATAAAGGTAGTCACCATCATATACTACACTCAACAATAAATTCAATTTTTTGGATTTTTTTTTTTCATTGTTTGATTTTGCAAGGCTAGAGATCAAACCCAGGGCCTCCTGCATTCTAGGCAAGTGCTGTATCACTGAGCTATACCCTGAGCCCCCAAAATGCATATGTTTGAGTTGTGCATATATGTATACATTAATAATAAATATTTAGAAAAATACTTTAAAGAATACATCCCAGGGCTGGGGTTGTGGCTCAGTGGCAGAGCGCTTACTTAGCATGTGTGAGGCACTGGGTTCGATTCTCAGCACCATGTATCAATAAATAAAATAAAGGTCCATTGACAACTAAAAATATATATATATTAAAAAAAAGAATACATCCCAAATTGCTAATTGTGGTTATCATTAGAGAGAGTCTTAAAGGCAGAGCTGGGGATGTTTTTCTATTATTGCCTTATCATTTCAATTCTTTCCCATGAGGATGTGTTGCTCTTAAACTTGTGAGGGTGTTGGAAAAGATCCCCTGCCCCAAAGAGCCCTCCCTTCCACTGTCTCTTCCAAGCCTTTTGACCAGATGTTCTGCTGGCTCTGCTTCTGAGCTGGCTGCTCATCCTTGTTCTGTCCTATTAACAGGAATCATCTGGTGCCAGATCTTAAAAGGCCACCTGGAAGAGGCTGAGCACCAGCTGGAATTCCTGAAGGAGGTGCAGCAGTCCCTCGGGAAGTCTGAGGTCAGAGCTCCCCAGAGGCATGGCATGCTCCAGGGCTGCCTCTCTGGCTCTCCTTCCATCCCCAGTTCACAAGAGAGGGCAGCCAGAATGGCCTGGACCTCTGCTTTGCCCTCCCCAAGAACTCTGCCCAGGCTGGCATTGGCTGAGACTCAGGCTCTCTCTCCCACAGTTGCTGGTTTTCCTCCAAGCCCTTTTGGCATCCAAGAAGCATAAGGGGGAGCAGGAGGCCACGGCGCTTCTGAAGGAGGCAGTGGAGCTGCACTTCTCCAGCATGCAGGGCCTCCCCCTGGGCCCCGAGTACCTCGAACAGCTAGACCCCCTCTTCCTGGTCTGCATCGCCAAGGAATACTTGCACTTCTGCCCCAAGCAGGTTAGGGGAAGGCCCATCTTCACCGTGGGGGCCACAGTACAAGTGTGGGTGGTGCCCACCTGAAGGACAGGGGAGGGACCTTATCTGTCCAGTCATCAGGACAGTCTGAGCCTTGGGCAATCAGAATTTTTCAAATGTGGACATGTGGCTCCCAACTCATCCAGGAGGTTGTTCCAGTGCAGATTCTGATGTTACAGGTGAGGCCCAAAGTCCTGCATCTCTAACAAGCTCCGAGGGATGCTGAGGCAGCTGGTTCAGGCTAACACTCCTGGAGGAGCAGGACACTGGCCATGCACCTGCTGTGTCCTAGACAGCACTTGGCTCCCCTCTCCCCAGAAGGCTTCTAAGAACAATGTTAGTGTGTGCTCATTCAACCTGCTTTCCCTACCACACAGGATTCCTTGTGGGCAAGGACCACGTTTTCACAAGTCTTAATACCCCCTCCCCAGTACATTGTAATGAGTCAGTCAACAAAAATTCATTGGGTGCAATGCCTTGAACCAGACACCATTCTAGGTATTGGGGACACAGCAGTGAGCAGAACCAAGTCCCCATTCTCTGGTGTGTGCTCTAACACTAGGTGGTACAGGGGGATAATAAGCAAGTAAATTCCTCTACTGAGAGCGTTTCTCAGGGCTCCAGGAGTCTCTTAGAATGGGGCAGATGACACAGCCAGCCACTCATGTTCTTGTAGCCCCGGGCACCAGGCCAGATCCTGTCTCCACTTCTTAAACAAGTCACTGTGATCTTGAGTCCTGTCGTGAAAGCAGTCCCAGCTATGATGGAACCCCTCTTTGTGATGGCTCAGGTCAAGTATCTTTCAGGTAGGTCCTGGAAGCTGGGGGGGGTGGGGGCTGTGTCTTCTCACATCTCTTTATCTGCTCGGACACCTGACAGGGCTTCTGTACCCCCCGCCCCGGCTGTGTCCACATGCACACTCATGCTGTATGCACACATGCAGACACACAAGCCTGCCCTCCTGGCCTGCCCACTCAGTCCAGCCTCGTCTGCCAGTAACCTTCCTGGCCTCCCTCACCAGAGAGGTCTCTCCCACCCAGGCCTTTTGCAGATTACTTACTTGATCTATGCGGGTAGTACTGAAGAACTTCTGGGATACAGTAATACTCCAAGTAGACAAAAGTTTCCTTACAGAGCTTGCACTCTAGTAAGAGGAAGTAGATGAACAACTGAGCACCTGGTGTTGTTTGTTAGAATGTGACATGCGACAGAGAAAAGTAAAATAAGGAAGCAAGGAAGAGGATGTTAATGGGAATCAGTGTGAAAAGAGTTACCGTGAGGCTTTCAGAGCTCCTGGGTACACAGATCAGCACCCTGCCAGCTTCCCCCAGCTCGAGGGCCAGCCACTAGAGTGAGAAGGAAAGAGAGGGAGACAATTTATATAGGTGTCCTCTCTAGGCACACAGCCATCTCCAGAAGTTATTATGTGGCCTTTCATCCCATCCTGTCTGCCTGAAAGCCAGGCCAATCTAGTCTGGGGAGTTCTACAGGATCCAAAACACAGTACTACCGTGCATCTGTCCTCCAGTACTACATTATGTGGGGTGCACTCTGCTGAGAGCTCCCCATTGTCATCCTTGTTCCCTCCATGATCATCTGGGAGCCAGGTTTACCCACAGCTTCAAGGTCTCCTGGGTTCAAGTCCAGGGCAGGAGCACTCCCCCAGGAGTGCTAGCAGCCACCAGCTGGCCCCAGCTGGTTTGGGGCCCAAGCAAAGTCTCCAGGTGCTTAGGTTGCCATGGTGACCTCTTTCCATTTCCACAGCACACAAGAGAGTAGGGAGCTTGGAATCCAGAAGCAGGTACACCCTACCTACCCATGCAGGTTAGGGACTGCAGGTGGGAGACTGTTGAGGGACCTGGCTGCAGAGGGAGGAAGCTCCCTACCAACTCATAATACCTCAGCCCCAGGCTGGCACCACCACCCCATAAGCACCAGCCTGGCTGCAAGGAGATCCCTTGGCCCCTTAGTGCCAGGGGATTCAGAGATCTGGTTCAGGAGACTGGTGGGTTTGCCCTTCAATGTGGTCTTTGTCCCTTTGAGCTGAGTGGCTAACATCACTGGAGCCCTAGTTCCTATACCTGAAAGACAAAGATCAGGGCTGGGGATGTAGCTCAGTGGCAGAGCACCTGCTTAGCATGTTTGAAGCCCTGGGTCCTATCTCTAGCAGCAACCTTGCAGGTAATACCAACCTTACAGGGCCACACAGATGTTAGATCAGACTTTCCAAGGTGATTTGCACATGTTGCACATTCGTAAGCTGAGACTATCATAGTTGCTGCTGTTATAGCTTTGGTTCTGCTCTTAGTTATGGGAATTGAGATTTCATTTTCCCCTGAGCTTCTGGATGGAGCAGCAAAGTGACTTAGCTGTCTCCTTGAGGTCAAAGAGGCAAGGAGAATGTTGGACCTAGATTTAATTGTCCTGGCTTTTGTCCAGATCAAGGCAAAACTGTAGTTTTAATTTTAGGAAGAGACCCCCTAAAGCAGAGCAGAACTGGGTAAAATGCCCAGTGTAGGTGCACAATCCATCCTGCCTCCACCTGTTGGACAACAGGTCCCCGGGGACCCCTGTTTTGCAGAGCTTTGTTTCTGGTTTCTAGGGGAGCTGGAGAATGCCCAGAGCGTCCTGCAGCGTTGCCTGGAGCTGGACCCCACGTCTGCAGATACCCACCTCCTCATGTCCCAGATCCACCTGGCTCAGGGCAACTTTGCTATGTGCTCCCACAGCTTAGAGCTGGGTGTCAGCCACAACTTTCAGGTGAGGGTCCCCTGTACTCTGCTGCCCACTCAGCATCCCAAAGCCAAGCTACCTATAGCTCCCACTTTCCTCGAGAGTGAGGCAACCCCAGGAGCCACCTGCATCCCTCAGACCCTCTGCTGCCCTCAGGTGGTTCCCTGGCTCTGGCTCCCGTGGTTTCCTCCAGTGGCTGCTGTGAGCAGCAGCAGTGGTGAGCTGGAGCCCCACACTCTGTTGTGTTCCTCCTAGGTCCGAGACCACCCCCTCTACCACTTCATCAAGGCCAGGGCCCTCAACAAATCTGGAGACCATCCAGAGGCCATCAAGACACTGAAAATGATCATGAAACTGCCAACTGTGAAGGTGGAGGAAGGCAAGAAGTTTCGTGGGTCTCCCTTGCCGCCCAGAGAGCGAGTGTCCATCCTGCTGGAACTGGCAGATGCCCTCCGGCTGAATGGGGAGCTGGTGAGCAACGCTGTGCTCTCTTCCCTTGGGACTGGGGCAAGTTGGAGGCCCCAGGTCAACCTGAGAACCAGCTCTCTGATTCTTTGATGTTTGCTGGTGCCAGCATTTGGTCCCTTATTCAGCTGGGAGCATGCCTCTCCCATTGCCTAAAAGGCTTTAGTGGCTCCCATTGCCCTTGAGGTAAGTCCAGACCCTACTAGGTCCTGCATGACCTGGTCCCTGTCTACCCTAATGTCCCCATGAGAATCTCAGAGAGGCAGAGCACACAGGCTCAACAGGGTCACCAACAATGGTTGTGCAGATTGGGTATTGCACAGATTCAGTGGATGCCAGTCACACCATAATCTTTTATGTGCTGTGTCTTCTTTGTTTGGAGTTTTGCAGTACCCAACCTGCTGAACATATAAAGCAGCCCCAAGGCCTTGGAGGGTCTGGCTGGACAGAGGCAGAAAGCACCTGGGTTATCTTCAGCTGGTCCATGGGAGCGATGGGGAACACAGAGGCAGGAACAGGCCTTGGGGGAAGCTGTACTCTGCAAGTTCATTTGACCTCACAGGCCTCTGGCCTCACCAGCTCACAGGAAGAGGTCTGTCCAGGGCCATGTCTGTGATCCATGTATACTGGAGCCTCTAGCCTTCTCCTGCAATGATTCTGATGTAGAGAGGGATCTAGGCCTTTTTTCCTTACAGATAAAAATATCACTGGGCTAGGGTAGAGTGCTCACCTTCCATGCACAAGGCCCTGGGTTCCATCCCTGGAATCACAGGGAGAAAATGAAAAAGTTAAAAACTGCCTTCTTCCAAATGTGCCAAGAGGAACAAAAGAATTAAAAGTAGAGGAGTTTGGGGGTGGTCACAAGAATAATTATTAATTTAGTCACTCATTCAGCTGACAGTGTGTCCAGTGGCACTGACAGAAAGACAAGCCACCCAGGCCCTTGTCTTTCCAATTCTCAGGGGCGGGTGGGGCGGGTGGGGTTGGGGGTCATGGCCAGGGAGAGACTGGAGATGCCTCCATTACTTGAACCTTGATAAACTGGGGTTGTGCACAGTCCTCGGGGAGAAGCTGGGACATTCCTGGAAGAACCCAGTTCTAGCCTCTGCAAGAGGGAACGATAGATCAGACAGGCAACAGCCAACACAGGCATCATTGTATTCCTATAGAAGGCAGAACAAGCTGGACGTGGAGTCACCTGCCTGTAATATCCCAGAGGCTGAGGCAGGAGGATCAGAAGTTCAAAGCCAGCCTCAGCAACTTAGCGAGACCCTGTCTCAAAATAAAAGAAAAAAATGGCTGGGGATGTTGCTCAGTGGTTATTGCCCCTAGGTTCAATTCCTGATACCAAAAAAAAAAAAAAAAAAAAAAAAATGGAACTGGAAAAGCAGCAAAGATGTAATAAGAGACAGAAGAGACAAGTTCTTTTAGGGAAGATGTGAACCAGAAAATTGGGCTCTTTATGTTAGAGAAATTATAGCAAAATCAAGACAAAGAAATGTCTTCAGAGTAACACCCTAAGGAAGTGGCGGAATCAAAGGTTCACGGTGTGAGTGGAGCTTCCTGTGAGCATCTAGGCAGAGAGCAGTTCACCCCTGTGAAAAAAGAAGTTCCCCTCAGACTCTTAGCCATTCTAGATTCAGGAAAACAATAAGACAACATTAATAAATGCATGGAAAGGTGTCCCTCAGGATGTCTTTCGTGTATAAATGCAATAAAGGACACTAGAAAATGGAATAACTCAAGCAATGTAGTGTTAGCTACATGTTTCTGAAAAATCTACTTGTAGATATAATCAAACCAATCAAAATATGAAATAAAATGAAATTTTATTTTATTTTATGATCGGGGAAAATTTTTGAGGTATAATAGGATAAAAATTCAATCCAATTAAACATAGAACTAAACTAAATAAATCTAATTACACTTAAACAACAGGTAATTTTGACACTAATCCAGTATAATGGCTAAATTCTTGACATAAAAGCTATTAAAATAGCAATAGTTTCACTATGACATCACATGAAAAGGTTCAGGGAGAGAGGGTAGGAAGGGAAGGTAGGGAATAATAGGAGCATACAAATTTCCTTTTTTAGATGTACTGGGAATTGAACCCAGGGATGCTCTGTCACTGAGCCACACACCCCAACCCTTTTTATTTTGTAACTTTGAAACAGGGTCTCACCAAGTTGCCCAGACTGGCCTCAAACTTGCGATCCTCCTGCCTCAGCCTCTCAAGTCTCAAAGTAAAAAAAATAAATAAGACTCAGGATGTGGCTCAGTAGTACAGCACCCCTGGTTTCTATCCTCAGTACTCCCCCCCCAAAAAAAGTGGAAACAAAATAAATTGACAAAAAGCCCAAGAACATATATCTATGACAATGAAATGAAGTAAATATACCTACAAAATAAAAAAGAGATTTCATAGTGGGGTTTAAGCAAGCAAGCAGTGGAAGCCACTCCAAAAACTAAAATGAATTAAAAGGGAAAAGATGGTACAAACATACAGGCTAACAGAAAGCAGAGCTTGAGACGTAAATGTCTGGGAAGGTTGAATTCCAAGCAAAAAGCACCAAAAATGGGCAGAGAGAAAGTAACTCAGTTGACCTTTATGTGCTGATTACCAGAACATTCAAATATCCTTGGCCAAGAGCAAGAAAATACAACAAACCATGCCCATAGTTCTCACATAGGAGGGAATTGGAACTTGATTTTGAGGTAACAGGCAGGTTTTTACAGTTAGGAGTTCCTGTACCCGCAAGCTAAGCAGGCTCCTCTGTCACCATCTCACCAAGAACAGTGGCCATGGACCTTCGGAGGTCTCTCTCCTCCTGCCTCCAAAGCTGCTCCAAGGGTATCTGCTCCTTGACTTTCCAGTAGCAGGTCTGCTCCTGGCTGAACCCAGCTCAGACTCATGTTTCATTCCTCTCCCAGGACAAGAATGGGAATGGTGATTGCTTTAAGTTTCCCAGAAGATTTCAAGTGTTGTCAGGCCACCTGTAGTGGATGACACCAAATGGAGGCTCTGTCTATTTTGGTTCCCATGTTTTAGCATGAGGCCACCAAAGTCATGCAAGATGCCATTAATGAATTCAGTGGTACATCAGAGGAGATCCGCATCACCATTGCCAACGTGGACTTGGCCCTAAGCAAGGGCAATGTGGACATGGCATTGAGTATGCTGAGGAACGTCACTCCCAAGCAGCCCTGCTACATGGAAGCCAAGGAGAAGATGGCCAGCATCTACCTGCATACCTGCAAAGACATCCGCCTCTACATTGGATGCTACCGGTGAGTCCCAGCAGCAGCATAGTGACAGATTCTCCTCTGATGGTATCTTGGGGTGTTTCCTTCAACCTGGATCTCCAGAGTGTGTTCTTGGAGTGCATTGGCCAAAATATGGAATTTCCCTCAGGTCAGTAAGCCCTGACTGTGGATGAGTTCTAGGACACAGAACTGATAGGCCCTTAGCCCTGCTTGCCTCCCCACCCCCTGCACCCTTGCATGGTTCACATTCTGGTGGGAAACTGTGGGCCTGGATGCTAGAGCAGACACAGAAGGAACCATGGGAGCATACTTCCTCCCTGACCCCTGGTTCTGCCTGTCCCTGAGAATATATACAGTGACTTGGATGTGACTAGTGTGGAGTGGTTGAGGATGGAGAGCCCCAAACCTCTGTCTCTTTATGACTTGATGGCAGGACCTCAGAGGTACCTTCCTTCCCAGTACTTTTCTTCAGAAAAAAAAAATTACTCTAGGCAATTTCAGGAGTGTGGGGTGGGTGGTGGGTGAGAGGAATGCTGAGGGGTTGGAGGGAGACATCCAGCAGTTGGGGGTTCTTGTACCCCCAAGCTAAGCAGGCTCCTTTCTCACCATCCCAGCAGTGGGAAATGAATCAACAAGAGGCTGTCTGGTCAGATGAGAGTCTTATTTTATTTATTTATTTATTTTGGCGGTGCTGAGGATCAAACCCAGGGCCTTGTGCCTGTAAGGAAAGCACTCTACCAACTGAGCTACCTCCCCAGCCCCAGATGAGAGTTTTAGAAAGAGCATTGTGGGGCTGGAGATGTAGTTCAGTGGTAGAGTGCTTGCCAAGCATGTGCTAGGCCCTGGGTTCTATCCCCAGCACAGAGAGAGAGACAGACAGACCACAGGCACACAAAGATAGAGACAGAGAGAGATTGGGAGACAGAAAGGAGAGAGAGACAAGACTAAAAACTTCTACAAGGCAAGGAGAGCCTGACTAAGGTAGCTAGCGCAGTGCCTCGTGCACAGGTGGATTCTCAGTAACTATTGGCTGATGAATGAGCATCAGCCGGAATCAGTAGCAAAGAATAGGAGATGGCTTCAGGACTGTGAGGGATGCACAGACCTGAGAGAAGCTTTTGGTTATTCCTGCAGGGAACTCTGTGAACATCTGCCCGGCCCCCACACCAGCCTGCTTCTTGGTGATGCTTTCATGAATATTCAGGAAGTGAGTGAGGGACCCCACAGCCTTGCCAAATAGCCCCCCAGTCTCACTTCTCCAGTTGGAGAGAAGAGATAAGACTCCCGGTTACTTCCCCCACCAGCCTGAAAAGGCCCTAGAGGTCTATGACGAGGCCTATAGGAAGAACCCGCACGACGCCTCCCTGGTCAGCAGGATTGGGCAAGCTTATGTGAAGACCCACCAGTATGCCAAGGTCAGACTGGTCTGGGGTGGCGCAGGGTGGGCCTCCCAACAGCGAGGGGAAGGGAGGATGCATGAGTGGAGGGCTCTGGATTGGAGGAGGATGGTTGAGCCCCCATCCCAGCTCCCTGCTCCCACAGTGTCCCTTTGGGATAAGATACATAAGGGGAGATGTCAGTGACACCCACCACAGCCCATGCCTGCTCCAGCTGAGGCCTGAGCCCTGTGCCAGCTGGGAGGCCCTTTGCCTCTTAGGCTTCTGCATTCTGGAGGGGCACATGAATGGGATGTGGTGGCCACCAAGCGGTATGTAGTGTCAGGCACTCCAGTGCAGAATGAGGCCTGAGGCCTTCATTTCCTGTTTGCTCTAAGGCAATTAATTATTATGAGGCTGCCCAGAAGATTAGTGGGCAGGACTTTCTGTGCTGTGATCTGGCTGAACTGCTCATGAAGCTAAAGAAGTTCAACAAAGCAGAAAAAGTTTTGAAACAGGCACTGGGACGTGACTTTGGTGAGGCAGCATTCTAACCCACCCTAAATATGTGGAGCAGGCATACTGCCCCCTGGTCCTTCCCCACATTGCCTGGGCTTCCAACCACCAATCCAGCTTCCCAGGGACCGCTGAGCACTCATTTGAGTTTTCTTTTCACAGCCAAAGACTTCCCATCCATGATGAATGATGTTAAGTGCTTGCTTCTGCTGGCAAAAGTTTACAAGAACTATAAAAAAGAAGATGTGGTAGATACTTTGAACAAGGTAATTAACCCTGAACACTCAAGCTCTTTCTCTGCCATTTCCCAATAGTTGCTACAGAAGGAGGAAGGATAGGGCTGCAGATCTGGGAGGCCTCAGACCTCTTTCTCAAGAGAGGCTGGGCTTCACCTCTGACCTTCACCTTCCATTTATTTCCCCAGTGATCATGCTCTGGGCTGGGCTAGGGAAGGCCAAAGGTAAGGTGGTAACTGTTTCCAAGAATAATGGCAATTTTTAACTTTTTTTCACATTTTTAATTTGTGTGCTATAGCTGTGCATAATGATGGGATTTTTATTACATATTCATACATGTACACATTATATCATATATTTTATTACATATTCATACACGTACACAACATATCCTATATGTTGGAGTATTGACCCTACATTTTCTTCTAGAAGAAAATTAAATTATAATATAATTTAGCCAATATCACTCCTTAGGATTTCCCCCCCTCCCTTCCCATCTCCCACCCTTTGGTCCCTTTCCTTTACTGGTCTCTCTGACTTCCATGAGCTCTGACCCCACCTTTCTTTTCGTTTTTATTCTCTAGCTTCTGCATAGGAGAGAAAACATACAACTGTTGACCTTCTGAGTTTTACTTATTTCACTTCACCTAATGGTCTCTAGTTCCACCCATTGTCCTGCAAATGATATAATTTTATTTTTCTTTATGACTGAATAAAACTCCATTATGTATATATACCACATTCTCTTTATCCATTTATCCATTGATGGACACCTAGTCTGTTGCAATAGTTCAGCTATTTTGAATTGTGCTGCTATAAACATGGGTCTGCATGTGTCACTGTAGTAAGATGACTTTAATTCTTCAGGATAAATACCGAGGAGTGGGATAGCTGAGTCATATGGTGATTCCATGCCTAGTCTTTTTGGGACCCTCCATACTGATTTCCTTAATGGTTGTACTAATTTAAAATCCCTCCAGCAGTGTAAAAGTGTTCCATTTTCTCCACATCTTCTCCAGCATTTATTATTATTTGTATTTTTGATGACCGCCATTCTGACTGATGTGTGATGAAATCTCAGTGTAGTTTTGATTTTCATTTCCCTAATTGCTAATGATATTGAATGTTTTTTCATGTATTTGATGGTCATTTGTATTTCTTCTTTTGAGAATCATCTGTTTAATTCATTTGCCCATTTATTAATTGGATTGATTATTGGTGTAAAGTTTTTTGAGTTATTTTTATATTCTAAATATTAATCTTCTGTCAGAGGGTAACTAGCAAAGATTTTCTCCCATCTTGTAAGTTCCCTCTTCACATTCCTGATTGTTTTCCTTTGCTGTGCAGAAGCTTTTTAATTTGATGCCATTCCCATTTATTAACTCTTGGCATTATTTCCTGAGTTTTAGGGGTGATATTGAGAAAGTTATTGCCTGGGCCTATATGTTGGAGTATTGACCCTATATTTTCTTTTAGAAGTTGAATAGTTTCTGGTCTAATTTCAAGGTCTTTCCTCCATTTGGAGTTGATTTTTGTGCTAGATAAGAGATAAGGGTCTAGTTTTATTCTTCTACATATGGATAACCAGTTTTCCCTGCACCATTTGTTTAAAAGACTGCTTTTTCTCCAATGTGTTTTTGACACCTCTGTCAAGGATCAGATAGCTGCAGATGTGTGGATTTGTCTGTGTGTCTTCTATTCTGTACCATTGGTCTATGTGTCTGTTTTTGTACCAGTACCATGCAGTTTTTGTTACTATAGCTCTGTAGTCAGGTATTGTGATACCTCCAGCATTGCTTTTTTTGGCTTAGAATTGCTTTGATTATTCTGCATTTTTTATTTTAGGACTGGTTTTTGTAGTTCTGTGAAGAATGTCATTGGTATTTTGATGGAGATTACATTGAATATTAGATTGCTTTTGGTAATATGGCCATTTTAACAATATTAATTAATTCTGCCTATCCATGAACATAGGAAGTCTTTCCATCTTCTAAGGTCTTCTTCAATTTTTTCTTTAAGTGCTGTACCATTTTATTATGGGTCTTCCACTTCCTTGGTAAGGCTTATTCCTAGTTTTTTCTTTTTCTTTCTTTCTTTCTTTCTTTTTGGAATTGTTTTCTTGATTTCTTTGTCAGCAGATTCATTATTATAGGAAAGCTATTTATTTTTGTATGTTTATTTTGTAACCTGCTACTTCGCTGAATTTATTAGCTCTAACAGTCTAAGCATATTTGAGATGCCCTACCTAACATTGCTAGCTCTGAAATAAGGACTTGGGACTTTCTGTGAACTGGCACACTGGGGCTCTGAGTTTCTGATCCTGACTATTGGTTTCCCAAGGCCTTGGACCTCCAGTCTCGGATACTGAAGCGGATTCCACTGGAGCAACCAGAAATGATCCCCTCCCAGAAGCAAATGGCAGCCTTCATCTGTATCCAGTTTGGGGAGCACTACTTGGCAGAGAAGGAATATGCCAAGGCAGTGCGTTCTTATAAGGATGCCCTCTCCTACTCACCCATTGACAATAAAGTGAGTGGCCCCAAAACAAGACCTTGCTTCTTCTGTCAGGGCAGCATGCCATGCTGAGATCATTGACCAGGTGCAGAGGCTGGTTTCTTCTCTGAAGAGCTGCCGTGCAAAGGGAGTGAGAGCCCAGCCAGCCACAGCCTCTGGGATGAGGCAACTGCTCCAGTCAACCTGGGCCCTCCCCAGCTGCAACTCTTGGAGCAAAGCTGTACTGGGGAAGCTATTACTAAAAGTCATGTTAGAGTGACATTTTCCAGCCTCTGTTGGAGACAGGGAGATGATGAGAGTTGTGGATGTCAGTGTTGCTTGGGCATGAAGCCCAGGCTAAACTTCCAATTGGTTTTAGGGTCATGAGAGGGTTTAGTTCTAGATGAAGTCACAGTGGCTGGAGTTCACACTAAGAATAGATACAAACCAGGTATAGTGCATGACTACAATACCTGCAACTCAGAAGGCTGAGGCAGGAGGATCATAAGTGTGAGACCAGCCTGAGCAACTTAGCAAGGTCCTAACCAATTTAGCAAGACCCATCTCAAAATAAAAAAATAAGACTAGGGATGTAGCTCAGTGGTAGAACACCCCTGGTTCCATCCCCAGTATCAAAAAAAAAAAAGAAAAGAAATAAAGAAAAGAAAAAAGCTAAGAATAGATACAGAGCTTAGTAAGAGATCCATTCATTCAGTTAATATTCGCTCAGTTAACAGGTACCTAATATATGCCAGGTGCTGTCCTAGGCTTGGAGAAGGTGGATCAAGATGTGGTCACTTGGGGCTGGGGATGTGGCTCAAGCGGTAGTGCGCTCGCCTGCCATGCTTGCAGGCCTGGGTTCGATCCTCAGCACCACATACAAATAAAGATGTTGTGTCTGCCAAAAATTAAAAAATAAATATTAAAAAAAAAAAAAGATGTGGTCACTACCCACAGATTACTGTCAGGAAATGGGAACAGATGATGAGACAGCTGTAATATGCACCTGCATGTGGATGCAGACACTATGGGGATGCAGAGGAAGGGTACCTAGGGCACAGAGGGCTCCCCAGATGGATGAGTTTGGAGCTGAAGCTGACAGATGAGTAGCCAGGCCCCAACTCTTACAGTGTAGTGAGTAAAACCAATGCCATGGCTGGAGTGCTGGATGGGAGAAGGAGAGGGCCAGAGACATCACCCCAGAGGATTTGGGACATGCTCAGAAGACAGAACTGACAGAAAGAGTGGGGGAAAGAGCTTTCAAAGACAACCTCAGGGTTTCCCACAGTGTTCCTTGTTATTTTATATATATATAAAATATATATAGTATACAGTTTATTGTACCCAACCTTGTTGCAGGTACTGTTGGAGCTGGCACACCTCTACCTGCTCCAGGGACACCTGGACCTGTGTGAGCAGCACTGCACCACCCTCCTGCAGACAGAGAAGACCCAGGAGAGCGCCTCTGTGGTAGGAGGCCCTGGGGACCCTTCCCCACCCTCCCAGGGACCCTGCGAGGAGATGTGGGTGGCTGTTTCCTTGCTCCATAAGCTCAGATGCCTCTCTGGCCCACCTCTGAGGGGCTTTGGGGCAAGAGAAAACTCGTGCTGCACTCTACCTTTCCATGGGAGAGTGGGGCTGGCCGGCAGGGGGCAGCAGCCTCCTAGCCAGTCTAAGGGGAAGGGGCGAGGCTCTCTCAAGGCCAGGAAACCACACCCTCTGTAGGTGAAGGCAAGGGTGGGACAGAGTCTGGGGGCTTCAGGAAGTGTGTGGAATAGCTCTCCCAGTTCTGCCTCTCTCCTCCCTATCACCTGGACCTCCTCCAGAACCCCAGGGGCAGAGGCCAAACCCCTGCAGAGCAGAGGAAGGAACCTTCTGCAATCCTCACCTTCCGGTCCGGGCCTGAGGGCTGCAGGCAGTGGCTGCTTCTCCCAGGGCCTAAGAGGCTGCCTTGGAAGTCTCTCTCTACCTTCCCTCCTTACCACTCCCAACATTCCCCAATATCCCTGCCTCCCCCCATAGAGCTGCTCTCAGGAATTTCAGAGCCTTGAATGTTTTCTGATAGATGATGGCTGACCTGATGTTTAGAAAACAGAAATATGAAGAGGCCATCAATCTATACCAACAAGTCCTGGAGAAAGCGCCAGGTAATCCCTTCCACTGAGAAAGCCTGCATCAGTTCCCACCTAGCAAGTGCTGCCCTCCCAAACAGGGCGGCTGCTCCCCTCCTTCCTGCCCAGGCAGAGGAAGCCCCTTCCTCTCTGATTGTTCCCAGAGAGGCAGGAAACTGATAAAGACCCAGTGGAACGTGCCGGCCCTTCCCGAGTCCAAGGGGCCAGTTCCTGGTCCCAGGCACTTGGCACTGAACCCAGGACAGCCTGTCTATCCCCTTACAGCCATTGGTGTTCAACACAGTCCCTTTCTGAGTTCACAACCACTTAGTGGGGACTAAAAATCCTCCCATTCCCACTCACTACAACATAAAATCCCCTTCTCTCTGGGGAAGGGCCCAAACCTGAGGTGTAAGCCAGACTCTGAGCAGGCCCAGCAAGTCCAAGTGGACAGGAGTCTGAATCCTGGTCCAACACTTACTAGCATGTAACTTTTTGCAAATTACCTCTCTGTGCTCAGTGTCCTCATCTATAAAATAAGGACAATAAGAGTACTGACTATATCCTGTAGGTAATATATGGGTAAATATAGTGTCAGGTACAATAGTTAGCTGCTGTGTATGTGTGTGTGTGTGTGTGTGTGTTACTGGAGATTGAACCCAGGGGCACTATACCACTGAGCTACTCCCCTTGCCTTTTTTATTTTTATTTTAAGACAGGGTCTTGCCAAGTTACCCAGGTTAGCCTCAAACCTGCAATCCTTCTGCCTTAGCCTCTCCATTAGCTGGGATTACAGGTATGCACCACTGTACCTGATTTTTATAACACTATTTATTTATTTATTTATTTATTTATTTATTTATTTATTTTAGTACTGAGGATTGAACCCAGGAACACTTTACCAGAGGTATATCCACAAGGTCTCACTAAATAGCTAAGGGTCTCACTAAATTGCCGCGGCTGGCCTCAAACTTGTTATCCTCCTGCCTCAGCCTCCTGAGTCACTGGGATTACAGGTGTACACCACCACACCCAGCTATATTTTATTACCATTATTAAGCATAATTATTATTATTATTCACTCAACACTGTAAACCAGATGGGCAGTGTCTACTGGCTCCTCTTAGATGCCCTGCACCTCAGCCTGCTCGCCCTCCCAGGCCAAAGCACTCCTGCCTGATACAGCTGTTGGCCACCACAGCCTAGAATTTTCTGCTCTCTTATTTTAGACAATTTTTCGGTATTGAATAAATCAATTGATCTGCTACGAAGAAGTGGCAAACTTGAAGAGGCACCTGCCTTCTTTGAATCATCCAAGAAGATATCCAGTCGGGTACCTTTGGAACCAGGGTTCAACTACTGCAAAGGCATCTACTCTTGGTTAGTTGGTGGGGCGTGTTGAGGTGGGGCTGTATGCTAGAGACCTTCCCTGTATGCTAGCAGACACCAGAGATCTTGCTCAGTTTCAGGGGAGCAGGAATTCAGCCTCCAGGACTGCTATGCAAGCTCTGTGGCTCCGGTGTATTAGTGCACTCTCTGGGTCTCAGTCTCCCAGATTCTCAGTTTCCCTGATTCTGCCACTACAGGCACGTAGGGCAGCCCAACGAAGCCTTGAAGTTCCTAAACAAAGCTCGGAAGGACAGCACTTGGGGCCCGTATGCCACTTACTATATGGTGCAGATCTGTCTGAACCCAGACAACGAGCTTGTGGGTGGACAGGCTTTTGAGAACCTGATGACTGAAAGCAAGTAAGGATGGGGGTGGGGGTGGTGGGGGCTGGGGTGAGAGGCTGGAGAAGGCGGAGGGAGCCAATGGGCTACAAGGTAGGCCGCCCGCCTGAGTCCCATTGCCTGCAGCTCCACCAACAGGAAGGAATTGGAGCAGCACGGGGTGCGCACGGCAGAGAAGCTGCTGCGCGAGTTCTACCCTCACTCTGCCTTTGACCAGACCCAGCTGAGGCTCCTACAGAGCCTTTGCCTGATGGCCACCAGGGAGAAGGCGAACGTGGAGGTGGCACTTGGTACCTTCATCGAGATGGCACAGGCGGAGGTGCGCTAGCTTGGGGGAACCAGCGGGCTGCGGGGCAGAGGACAAGGGCCAAGGTGCGCTGATGGCCACTTCCCACCCCATGTGCAGAAGGACAACACCCCTGCCCTGCTGGCCATGTCGCAAGCCTACATGCTACTGAAGCAGATTCCCAAGGCACGTACCCAGCTGAAGCGCCTGGCCAAGGTCGCTTGGTCGCTGGCCGAGGCCGAGGACCTGGAGAAGAGCTGGCTCCTGCTGGCGGACATCTACTGCCAAGGCGGCAAATACGACCTGGCCTCGGAGCTACTGCGGCGCTGCATACAGTACAACAAGGCGAGGAGGCGCTCTGAGCAGGGAGGCCGGGCGGGGAAGCAGGGGTCCAGGAACTGCAAGGAGCGCTGTGAGCCATGCCCAGGCTTCAGGGACAGAGGAGATGCTGAGAAGGAACTGGATGGGAAAAAACAGGTGGAGAGGGGCATGTGGGCAACAAACCAGGATAGGAATTAGCAACACCAGTGACAAGGCCAGGCAGGAGGTGCAGGGGGTCAGACTATTCCCAGAGGAGGAAAAAACATGAAATGAGAGAGAGAGAGAGAGAGAGAGAGTCAAGGGGGTGCTGAAGTGCAGTCAGAGCTGGAGAGGGAGGTTTGCTGGATCCGAGCACATCACTAACCCATGGACACAGTGGTGCATGCCTGTCCCCAACTAATAATGGGACAAGAGGGCTTCTCCAGCGTTGGAGAGGCAGTGAGGAGGGCATACAGCTAACCCCTTGCAAAGCTGAGGATACCCTTGGGGTCCCTGTGCAGGCTGGAGTTAATGCAGCTCACCTCCCTCCATCGCCCCCTTCTGGTCCCACACCCACACTACACTTGGGCGCTGGTTTCCCTCCACAGAGGCGCTGACCTATTTTCCCTGCAGTCCTGCTGCAAGGCCTATGAGTATATGGGCTTCATCATGGAGAAGGAACAGTCCTACAAGGACGCAGCCACCAACTACGAGCTGGCCTGGAAGTATAGTCATCATGCCAACCCCACCATTGGTAAGGCAGCAGCCAGGATGCACATGAGCTGGTGTGGGAGGGAGGGCATCACAGGACCCCCAACCTGACCCCAGAACTCAAGGCCTGTTCCCTCGATATTGGGGGAAGGGGTCCTGGGGTCATGAGGTTGCCACCCTCTGTGTTCTCCTTGGTGTCCTGTGCAGGTTTCAAACTTGCTTTCAACTACTTGAAGGACAAGAAATTTCTGGAAGCCATTGAAGTCTGCCACAGTGTAAGCCACCGACATTGGCAGGGAGGGGTAGTGGCCAGGACCCCTGCCTGATGCTGCATACCCATTCTCTCTTGGTACAGGTACTCATGGAGCACCCCAACTACCCCAAGATCAGAGAGGAGATTTTGGGAAAAGCCCAAGGGTCGCTGAGGATCTAGCTGTGGTCGGAGGGACTCTGGGCCTATGGAAACCGTAAACCTTGAGCAGTTTCCTGGAGGGGGTGGGAAGTGGGTTATTGGAGAAGAAATTCAGAAAATAACATATTCTTCCCTATTTCTATTATGAATGTGGTTTATTTGGAATCATGTCTCAATGGACCTGAAAGGCAACCCAAAGCTTTACCTTTTTTTTTTTTTTTTTTGTACTAGAGATTGAACCCAGAGGTAATTAACCACTGAGTCACATACTTTGTCCTTATTTTTTATTTTGAGACAGGGTCTCACAGAGCTTCACTAAGTTGCTGAGGCTGGCTTTGAACTTGTGATCCTCCTTCCTCAGCCTCCCAATCCACTGGGATTACAGGCATGCGCCAAGACATCCAACTCAAAGCTTTTCATTTTTAAGGTCCAAAGAGTAATTTTGCTATAGGGAAGAAAGACATCAATTGGCTTAGCTTTTGTTCACTGGGCACTTTATAATAGGCCCTACTTTAATACTAGACTCTTGAGAGGGCAGATATCCACTCCCTCACCGCATTTTTTGTAATGGGGATGGAATTCAGAAGCACTTTACCATTGAGCTACATCACCAACCCTTTTCAATTTTTGAGACAGGGTCTTGCTAAGTTGCTGAGACTGACCTGGAACTTATGATCCTCCTGCCTCAGCCTCCTGAGTTACTGGGATTACAGGCATGCACCAGTGTCCAGCTCCTGTAGCTATTTTTAAATGCCTCCCCACTTCTGTCTGGTTCCCAGCATTCTGGAGCTAAAGAAGCACTGTTCCTCCCTGTCATGCTACCCAGTGAGTCTCCACTGGGAATGGGCCCAGGATACTCTGGGCAATGGACCCAGACAGGAGACTCAGGTACAGAAGTCCTCCTCCAGAGTTGAAACCTGGGTGAGAGGGTCTGCAGGTCTGCAAGGGCTATTGTCCCACCCTGTCACATGCATTCTGTCCCTACCCCCTCCCCAAGTCTTCAGCGAGCATCTGCTGATCCTCACCAATTTGGGACAAATCTGATTATTCTTGCCTGAAATAGGAAAATACATTCCAAGAAAAAAATAATACCCACTTTAGCATTTGTAAAAGATGTTACCATCTAATGCATCCCCCAGGAACCCTTTTAATGCCCAAGAGGGCAAATGCAGTGGCCCCTATTCAGATGAATAATGGAATTGTAACTAGCAAGAGGGTGACAGAGGTCACCTTTGCTGGGCTCCCGATACCACTCTTCCTGTTTTTCAGGATGGCAATAATGGGACAGTCCAGCCTCAGGGGAAGGAACTCTGAACTGGAATTCGGGAGGCCTAAGGTCTCCCATGTGACCTCCCCAAACCCCTCCCCTCTCTGGTTCTCAGTGTCCCCCTTTAGTGCAAGAAATTAGACTAGATGTTTCCCACATCTTAGTACAACTCTCTGCCAATGATGTATGTAGCCAATATTGAAGTTTAATGAATGAATGTATTTATTTCTGTAGTGCTGGGATGGAACCCAGGGCCTCACTCATGATAGGCAAGTGGTCTAGCACTGAGCTACACACCAGCCCTCAGTTTAATAACTATGTGTTTATATAACAGAAGAGTCACTAGCACAATGAACTCAAGAATTCATGAAAATTGTTGCATAGGATGGGTCTAACTATTAAGCATATCGATATATTTTGTTTTAGAAAAGTATAAAGGGTTTATTTAGTGAAATGAAAGTAATGCTCCAGACACGTGGAGTAGACCACCTCCAAGAGAGGAAAACAGCCCATATAATTGATTTAAAGAAACATCCAGGAAGCAGAGGGGTAGAATTTTCAAGAGAAGTTGTCTAATGACTAAGGTTGGGAACAGTGAGCAGGTAAGGGTCCCTTTTAGGAAAGTGTCAGTTGTCCTTGATGGCTGTCAACCTTCTTTTTCTAATGTAGTACTGATCGCGTGCAGGACCTCTTGGTGAGTTGGTGCTCTGGAATGCCCTCTCCGGGTTACTGCCATCTTTCCTTTAGGAAAACCCCCCTGTCCCTTTTCCTGTGCCTGCTTTACAACCCAGTTTTGTTGGGACAAGTTTGAGAGGCAGGTCTGTCTGGAGAATTATTTATGAAAGGAGTGTGCATTAACCGTACTTTTTTGTGGCTGTAAAACACAAGTTATCTTCATTTATCTCAAAAATAAACAAATAAAAAAACCTCAAGATCTAACACTGTGGCCCTAGAAGGGAATGGGCAAGCCTCAATCCAGCATGAGTTGAATCTGTGGAGCAGGAGCGTTTAGGGGCTTCTAGGCAGGAGATGCTGAGGGCTGCCACCAGAACCCTGGATAGTCAGAAATGCTTCAGAGCCCATGGAAAGACCAGGATTTAGGATCATGCATGCTGAAGCAATCTGCAAAAGCATCTGCAGACAACACTGAAGGGTGAGGAAGCAGAACAACTGAATGTACCATGGTGCTGTATCCTGGGAAGCCTAAGGGCTGGGCTGTCTCTGGCTAAACTGGTTACAAGGACATGCTGCCCCACGACAGGCCAGACTCCAAGCCATGATTCTTCTAATGGCCATTATTATGTGGTCATGCCCATGCATGTCCAGAAGAGACAGACACCCAAGGGATGATGGGACTGGCAAAAAAAGAGGGGAACATATAAAGACAAAAACATAAAAACAAAATGAAATTGCAAACACAGGCTTGCATGCTGCAGGCACTCCTCCAAGTGTTTTGCATATATGAACTTAACAAGCTAATGAAAGGAGCAATGTTATTTGCACAGTACTGAGGACACCCAGGTACAGAGCACCTAATTTGCATAAGTCACCTCACTAGGTAATAGAAAAGCTGGGATTCAAACCTGTCATATTGGGTCATGCTCATGAGTGCACCCAGCGCAGACCAAGAGGCAGAGGGTTAGACCACAAAAAGGGTCTTTTGGTGGGTCCCCCTCCCAGCACCTGTACAAATCATTACCATCTGTAAGGGAGAGGGTGAAATGCCTCCAAAGGCTCCCTGGGGCAGGGTGCAGCCTGCTCCTTTGGCCCACAGCCCACTTCAGCTGCTGGGGACAGGTCAGACAGGTCTGGTTGGTGCAGATGGATGAAGCTCTGCAGCTTCTGGTGCCACAGCTGCTGAGCCCATCTCCAGGCCAGGCCTCTACCAGCCACATCTCAATGCCTGTTCCAACCTGGTGGTGGGTGACTTAACCTTCTGGGCCAGGCCCTAGCTCAGTGCTTTCACTTACCCAAAGTAGACAGCCCCATTCCAGAAGAGTATCCTGCTGCTGCTCCCCACTGCTACCCCAAATGACCACTGGGGAGGAGTGGGTTAATTCAAAAGGAAAAGTGCACCATCTGCCCAGCCAGCCTCTCAGCTGGCTTCCTGCCTCCAAGCCCGACTGTCCTGCCTGGAAGGAGGCCCAGTGTGCACCCCACCTACCCAACACGGCCCCAATGTCCACACTGCCCTCCAAGGCCACCCCCTCCCTCTCCACTGCCTCCTGGAGGTATACCCCAGCTCCCCATCCCAATAATGCAGACCACACCGTTAAAAATAGAGCCTCTTTATTGGTACCTGTCAGCTCAGGTACAATGTGTTCCCACAGCACAGGCTGGCAAGGCTGCCTAGGCAAAGGGGCAGGCCCAGAGCCTAGCTTTCTTGGCACAGACACACAGAGAAATGAATAAATTATAGTTCTGACACTGAGGGACAATATAAAAGTTAATGTAAAATTCAAAATTCATAATTCAACACCAGCAAACAAAGGGCATAAAAGCCCTAAGGAACCACCCCTTAGCAACTGGCCTTGGGGTACATGGTGGGCTGGGATGGAGTGCAGTGCCCCAAAGCCCTGCAGGGTGGTGTTCATACCAAGGCAAGTCCTTTGCCCTTTCCGGGCATCTAGTCTCCCCCTCCTACATTACGGGCTGGGAACAGAGGCCACTGCCTTGTGGAGGGGAGAAAGTCGATCGGAGGGCAGGAAGCAAAGGGGCTGGGTAGGGCAGGCATAAGGGGGTTTTGGTCACAGCTGGCCAGCCCAGCACCTGCTTACACAGCCATCCCCGAACCAGGCAACTAACAGGAGATCACAGGGCTTGCATCCACACCTGGTATACACCAAAGCCCAGGCAGGACAGGATGCAGGACAAAAGGGACCCTGCCCCCAGCACTACCTACCAGCCAAAGAGGCACAGCTAAAGCTGCTTCAGTCTCCAAATAAATTATGGAAATAAATTACAGTCTTCACAGTCCAGAGGATCTAGCCACCCCATAGGTCTAGGGCTCAGAGCGGCGTGAGAAGCCTGAAGAGGCTGATTAGCCCCGTTCCACTGTCCTTGGGCTAAGGAATATCATACAGAGACTGAAAAGAGGTCTGCGAAGCTCCAGGAGAGCCATGTCTTCTCTTCCTGGCACACGCTGTAGAGGTGGAAGAGCACTGTGTGGGTGTGGGGGGCCAGGCCGCTGAAAGGGGGAAGCCCCTCCCCCTCTCTTCAGCATACAAAAGTTAATAAATAAATAAATTCAGAGTGTTTCGTGGAAACCAGGAGTGCCCACATACCTGTGGCTGAGCCAGCCAATAGGAAACTTGTTACATACAGACCTTGGGGAGCCCCCAAATCACCAAAAAGCAGCAACAGGGCTCTTGGGGCAGGGGAAAGGTACCCTAGTACCTCAGACCTGCACAGGCTCTACCAGAGAGGCCGGGGCAGTGTCCTCAAACTGGCTGTCGATGAAGGGGGCCAAGGTGTCGGCAACTGGTTCAGACAAGCCCATGAGGGACTCCAAGAAGCAAGTGCTGCCATCCCCCGGTGGAGAGAGGCCAGGCAAGGGGCCGTGGGATGCCTCGAGGTTGTCCAGGCTGCCAGGCGCCTTCTGGGAGGTATAGTGAGGCCCCAGACTGTAATCTGGCAGAGACTGGAGTAGCTCGAAGGAGTCGCAGGAAGACAGGCTGAGGTCCACTGAGTTGCTCTGGTGAATGTCCACACTGGGCGGCACCGAGGTGCCAGGGAGGCTACTTTCTCTCAACCCTTCAAAGCCACCATTTAGGAAGCAGCTAGCATCCAGGTTGGCATTCTCATCCAGGATACCCGGCACAAAGCTAGTGCCAGAGTAGTTGTGGGTCCAGCTGGCCAGGCCACCAGGGTCACCAGTAAAGATGTCAGTTGGGTAAAAGCAGCTGAGGTTGTCCAGGTTCCCCACACCCCCTTCCTCTTCCTCCTCCTCCCCACCAAGGTCAGAGTCACTGAAACTTAGGATCCGCGCCAGGCTGTCATCATCCATGCTTGGCTGGAAGCCAGGACCAGGCAGGCCTGGATGGGTGGGGTGGTCTGGGGCCTCACTAGCGCCTGATGAGGAAGATGTCGTGGAAGAATCGGTCATGTCACTGCTGCAGCTATTGTCTCCCAGCTCACTGCTTGCTGGGGGGTTGGCCAACGGGAAAGGGGACACCATGTCCTGCTCGCCAGGGTTGGCTGGGCTGCCCTGTGCAGGGGCCTCCAGCTCTCCAAGGCTCTCAGCCCCCTGCTCCAGCTGCAGGCGTGTGAGCGTGTGGATGAAATGGGTCTGCACACGCGCCTGATTAAATTCCACACGGCCGTTGGGGTTCTCACAGCCCTCCTTACAGCAGCCACAGGGGAACCCTGTGTGGTCCATCTGCAAAGAAAGTGGAGGCACAAGTGAGAATTCTGTGGAGTGCAAGAACCCCCAGGCTCAACCTCCCCAGCCCAGCCCTATCCAGCAACCATACCTGGCACTTGATACCTGCCAAGCTGCAGCTGCAGGTCTCAGGGTCACAGACCCTATCGCAGCGACAGCCACAGTCCTCACGGGATTGGCGCAGCGCCTTCAGTTCCCGCTTCTCCTCGCGGTCGATCCTTCGCACACCCGAAGCCCGCAGCAGAGCACGCCGCCGCCGAGCTGGGTGGGGTTGTAGGAAGTTCACTTCTTCCAACCGGCCGCCTGCCACAGCCACTGCCAAGTCTTCTTCCACAGAGGCATCATTGATGGCATCCACTGTAAGTGGCAGGCCTGCCTCCCCCTCAGGTACTCCAGAGGCCGAAAGCTGCATCCATGAGAGAGGAAATGTGAGAGGCACGAACACTTAACAAACGTTGAATGAACATTTAACAAATGCCCAAAGCGCTTACTGTGTGCTAGGCACTGTGGGTATGGTGTTGAGAACAAGCAAGAACACTGCCCTTAGGGCATCTTGCAGAGATGTACTACCAATCCCCAGATCAGGGACAAAATTCCCTCTCCTATTACACATACACCACCACCACTCCCCAACAACATAAACTCCACATCCTCCTCCCTGTTAAGGTCAGACACCAGGCCCTCAGTCCACCTGGAACCGCCATCCTTTCCCTGTGTCTGCAGATAATCTGGTCTGATTAGGCCAATCACAGAGCCCACAGACCTATTTGCCTACATATGACATGCAAACTGGCACCCAGCGCTAGGATTCCAGGAGCAGCTGGAGTGCACGGGCCATGAGGACAGGTCTCCCTACCTTCCAACGCAGCATCTCTAGCTTCTCCTCTTTCAAACGCTGGCGGAGTTTCTCACGCCGGGCCCGGGCTTGTTCCTGTGTAAACTCACACAAGGAGAAGTGGCGGCAGGCGCTGTGGCGAGGGGCCATGCCCAGAGTACAGCCACCACGGCTGGGCACACTGGTGAAGCCCTGGCACCGTGGGAAGTAGAAGACAGTGATGCCAGTGAAGGCGACACGGCATGGGCGCTCCCGAGGAGCCCGCTTCAAAATGGACCGAGCTGGAAGACAGGCAGGGAAGGGGGGGGGGATTAGTTCACTGAAGCGCAGTATCACCTCGAGGAAGAGTGCAAAGAACTGTCTCTCCCCACGCATCCCCTCTCCACCCTCCTTAAAAAAAAAAAAGAGGACCTGAATTTAGGAGCCAGCCTGGCTGGGATTGGAGCTGGGAAAACTGAACAAACACCCATGTCAACATTGGCTCGAAGTCATTTACCAGTCCAAGTGACAGTATTCATAGGGTTGAATGTCTTTCCATTACTATCAGTCATCTACCTGTCCCTTTTACAATTTTATATTGATTTGTAGGAACTCTTTATGTATGAAATTGGAGATAATGATCATCTATTCAACCTCTCTGTGCAAATATTTTAGTCATCCCTTTGGTATGGCACTTCATGTAATTTTGTTGTTGTTTTGGCAGTGCAGGGAT